GTGACTCCCAGTAGCACTGAGCACACCCAGCACCCAGGTCTTGGCTTCTAAGGATCACTCTCCACTGAAAGGAACAAGGGCTCTTTGAGAAAAGGCCGATTATCAGGCTGGGACAGGGGGAAATGCACAAGAGCCTGGAACTCCGATGTTCCAGAAAGAAAGTAGAGAAATCCTTAAGGGACGGAGAGGATGTGCCAAGAGGACACAAGAGCCAGTGCAAAGGGCTTCTCACTGGCCAGACCTAGGGAACATTTGAACATTGAAGTAAGTGAGAATATTAGCTCTTAACCTATTTAAAGAAATAGGAATAGATGAGTCTATGCTGGCTTCAATGAATGCATAAGCAGAGTGTAGCAGACATGCTTTAATGACCAGCCAACATTTAAAATCAAAATCACGAATGAAGGCTATAGCTGTAGTCCCGGGTCATTCCAGTAGCTTACAATGTTGTGTAGCATCACTACACCATCAGTTTTTGTTTATTTATATTATTATTTTGAATTGTGTTGAAAATACATGTAACTTAGAATTTACCATCCCAACCACTTTAAAGTGTCCACTTCAATAGCATGAAGTCCATTCTCATTATTTGTGCAACCGTCCCCTCCGTCCATCTCCCACCATAATTTAACGCAGCAGTAAAACCAGGCTTTTGCACCATAATAGAGCAGTAAGCACCGTTGTACAGCTCCCTGTCCTGCCAGCTAAGCTTCGACATTTTCGCTTTTTTCATATTGTAAAAACTTTAAAAAGAATGCCATAAAAAACCCCAGCAGATCTTGTGGAACTTGGGGAGCTGGCTGTAAAATGTGTAAGGGGACGTAGTGGGTCCAGGACATCCTGAAAGATGTGAATTAGGAGTCAGCAGTCGGGCTGCTCAGGCCCGGGGTGTGGTGCAGGGCTGGACAGGCAGGTAACAGTGGGTACTCAGGAGCAGACCAGGCATGGCGGAGGGGTAGCACCTGGCCAGGGTGGCAAGGAGGAACTCCTGTCCCTGGGGACGCGGGTATGAGGAGGTACACAGGAGGGTAGTGAGTACCCAGTTTGAGACGCTCAGGCAGGCAGAGCCTTTTGGCGTCAGGAAAGTTGTGGGCAGAATTAATTAACTTGAGCGCAAAGCTGCATCTTGGTGTCAGGCCTCAGCATGCTTGGCATTCGCTAAGTCGTGTTCATCCTTCAAGTCCCTGGTCTCCCTCCTCCAGGAAGCCTGCCAGGGCCACCCACAGCCAGCTTTTCCTCTTCCAAGAAGCCTGCCAGGTTTACCCGACAGCTCATGCTCCTCCAGGCTCCAGGCACCTCCTGTCCGTGTCAGTCATCTGCCTTTTCTTCTTGCTTAGATAGTTGTGTAAGTGCATGTGTGTGCGTTGTGTGTAATGTGTGTCCTGCTCGACTGCACCGTAGGCTCCTTGAACGTGGCCCCATGTTGTCTTCCGTTTCTTGGTCTTCCCCTTGGGGCTGGCATGGGACAAAGAACCGTTCCTGACTGATAAGTCCACAGTTTGTACCCAGGCCCCAGCCCGCTGCAATGAGCCATGTAATGCTTGGTGAATATCAATAAGGCACGTACTGAAAACGCTGCTTATTTTGGGGTGGTGGCGGAGGATTGGATTACCGGGAGCTGGGTTGTGTTTAGTGTAACCATGTGAACGGTGTAAAATACAGACTATGGGAATGGAAGCCCAGACATCTGCTCTGAATTCTATATATAAATACTGGATGTGCTTACATGGGTTAAAATGGGATTGCTGGCGCTGGGATTTTCAGGCTCCTGGTTCTGCTGTGGTGGGGGCTGCACGTTAACCACAGGTCCTGGTACCCAAGCCAGGAGGGGGAAAGAGGGGCCTTTTCCTGACACTGGTGGGCCGAGGGCGCTGGGAATGGCAGACCCACCCTCCAGATAGGTGGGAGTGGTCTGCTCGCCCTCCCCGGGCAGAGAGCTGCGGAGAACCTACAGGACCTGTGTGTGTCTGGAGCGCCGTGCTGAGAAGGGGCTGCACGCACCAGGGTCACAGAGAGGCTTGTCCGCACCCGTGTAAGCCGCCGGGAAGCCAGGTGAAGGGAGAATGTCACCGGGGGAATTCAGCGGGCTTGGGCGCAGCAGTGCCTTTGAAAAATTATTTGTTATTGAGGTGAAATTCACACAACATAAAATTAACCATTTTAAAGTGAATAATCCAGCGGCCTTTAGTATATTCACAATGTTATGTAGCCACCACTGTCTAGTTCCAGAACATTCCAACATCCTATGGGAAACCCTGCCCCTGTTGGAATGTTCCGCCTTGTTCCCTTCCTCCAGCCCCTGGCCACCACTGATCTGTTGTCTGTCTATCTTTATGGATTCGCCTACTTGGGACACTTCATGGGACTGGAATCCTGTGCTCTGTGGCCCTTTGTGTCTGGCTTCTTTAACTGAGCATGATGTTTTCAAGGCGCACCCACGTTGTGGTGGGTGTCAGTGCTTCGCTCCTCTATACGGCTGAATATTACTTCATTGTGTGGACAGAGCACATTGTGTTTACCCATTCATCCGTTGATAGACATTTTGGCTGCCTCTACCTGTTTGGCAATTGTGAAAAAAATACTGCTGTGAACACGCGTGGACAAGGATTTATTTGAGAACCTGTTTTCAGTTCTTTGGGGTACGTGCCTCGGAGTGGAATTGCTTGGTCACATGACAGCTAGATGTGTGACTTTTTGAGGATCTGCCGGCCTGCTCTGCACAGCAGCCCACAGCAGCCAGCGGTGCCTTTTAACTTGTTACCATTTCCCTCTGGACAGATGAGGAAACAGGCTCAGAGTGGAGATGAAAAGTCTTGCCCCAAATCTCACAACTGGAGACCAGGCCTCCAAGTCTGAGTCCAGGACTCAGATCTGGCCCAGGACTGGATGAAGGAAACGTGTAATTAATTACTGCCCTGGCTGGTGTTGACTGCCTGCCTAAAATGTGCTACTGCTGGCCTGGGGCTTTGTATGAACTGCTCTGTTTAAGGCTCGCAGTCTCCAGTGTCGGGGTGCAGAGATTACCCCCGTATCACAGACAGGACATTGTGAGGTCAGGGAGGCCCCAGTCCCCTGGGCTGGCTCTGGGGCTCTCACTTGGAGGGCCACTCTGGTCTGTGTGCCCTACGTGGTCCTGAAAAAAAATACTTGCACACATAATGTCATAACAATGTAAATGGAATTTGAGGTTAAAATATTTAAATTGTATTTATCCAGAGACTCAACTAAGTCATCTTTCATTGTCTGGTCTTCTTTTCAACCTTTGTCCCACCTGACACTTTCTCATGCCTGCAACTCCAGCACAAGTCAGGGTTTAAAGTGCATTGTGTGTGTGTGTGTGGGTTGACTTTACACGTCTGACGCATTTTCTGATGTTGCTGTGGTCATTTTCGTCATTTCTTATTGCTTTAATGGGCACAACTTCCTCCTGAGAGAGCAGTCTAGTTACCCTGACGTTGGAGATGCTTTGTTTATTTTTTCTTATTGTAAGGAAGGCTGCAGCAAATATTGTGTCTAGGACCTTTTCCTTCCTTCAGGTGTTCCTTGGGATAAAGTCCTGGGAGGCTGATCCCTGAGGAAGGTTTGAACGTTTTATGGTCCTTAATACCAGATGCCACAGGATTTTCTGAAAGGGTTGTTCTTGCATCTGTGGCTGCCAGGTGACCCCTCTCAGGGGTCCTGGAACGTGGTGGTGGCCGGGCCAGTGGGCCAGCTCTCAGCCTGTCCTCTGCTCCTCTTCCTCCTCTGCCTTGTTCCTTCTCACTGCCTCAAAAGTTTGGGCCACCTGTCAAGAGATCATCCCTGGAGTGACCTGGGGCAGGTCAAGGCACCTTTCCAAGAGCTGCAGTCTCCTCCCTATACAGCTGAGACTCTGACCTTCAGGGTCTTGAGCACATGGGCATGTCCCCTGGGGAAGGAGCACATGGGACCAGCATCCGCTGCCTCCTGCGTGCTTCACCCCAGGACCTTTGCACAGGCTATTCACTGCCATGGATGCCCTCCCTCCTGCCGTCTCTCACCCCATTCAAGTCTTTGCCCAGGTGTCACTTTTTCAGTGAGACCTTCCTGACCATCTTATGTGAAACTGCAGCCTCACTCCCAAACCCTTTACCCGGCTCTGTTTTTCCAAACCACAGCACTGATGTTCCAAGGAACTGACTGCACCACCTTACCCATCATGTGTGTTGCTTATTGTCTTTTCCCCCTCGTGTTACAGGACATGAGGGTGAGTTCTTGCTCTGGTCGCGGGTCCCAGCCAGGCTGGCATGTGCTGCATGGCACCCTGCCACCTGCCCACTGGCCGGCCCTGCCTGGGTCTCAGCCCGGCGCACCTCCCTGTCTGCCTGTCCCTCACCTGGCTCCTCTGCTCCCGCTTGCGTCCCCCAGCCTCTTCCCTCCCCGTGGAACACCCTGGGCCCCGAGAAGGCCACGTCTCCTGGATAAGCCAGGGCACCTGGGACCCTGGTAGGCTTGGGGCCGCATCAGGCAGGCAGCCCCCACCCTGAGAGGCTCCCCCCTCATTACAAGTTCCCCAGGTGATGGGAGAGTGAAATGAGTGCCTGGAAAAACTTGGGGATGGAGTGTGTGGTGGCTTCTAAAGGTCTTCGAAGCAGAAGCGGCTCCTCCCGGGGAGAGCCTGCCCGCCCTGGCTGTGCCCGCCCTTTGGGAAAAGCACAGGAAGTTGAAATCTTCCCTCCTCATCTGCAGCCTTTGAAGGGTGCACCTGAACTGCCCAGAGTGTAAACTGGTGAAAATGTGGTCTTTCCAGTTCGGGGAGAAAGAACAGAGCAGAAGTAGGATTTTTTGTGCCTGGGGCAGCTTCCACGAGCCTCTCCCGTCTCTCCCCAGCCTGGGGGCCCTGGCCCCCTGGGATTTTTGCTGCCGGGAGAGGTTCACTGGGTTTCTGGCCAACAGTTGGGGCTGATAACTCGACCCTGGAGACCTCCCTCCAAAGTGCTTCCCCTCGGGGCTGGAAAGCCTTGCATCCAAGACTCCTTGTCCGTGGGGCCGTCTACATGTTGATGCTCACGCCAGGTGAGTTTGGTCCCTCACTGCGGTCACCAGCTGCCACTTGAATACCCATGGCAGGGGCACACTTGCCCGCTCCTGAGGTGGTCCCTTGCATCATCGCCCAGAGATGCCAATTTAGAGTAGCGAGTGAAGTCAGTGTCCGCCCTGCTGGCCTTGGCAGGGGTTCCCAGGCTGAAGGCAGGCCCACCCTGGTAGGGGGATGTCACGGGGCCTTGGTGTGTGCACCTGTGTCTGTTTCTGGGGAGAGGATCGGTCAGCTTTTCAGAGGGCTGTGACCCCTGGGAGGTTAGGAACACCTGGTGGGTCCTGCCTTCGCTGGACAAGGAGGTATGTGCTAGGCCACCTTGCCGAGGGGAATCTCAGGAGCCTGGGCACCGGATCCCTCACAGGCAGGGCAGCATGACTGGTTGTGCCAGTGGCCCGGAGGCCCTGGCAACCGTGAACAGGCATGTGCTCTGGGAGCGTCCGTGGCCTCGCGTGTGCCGTGGGGTGTCCGTTTGCGGTGGCTCTGCTGCCTTGTTCTGCGGGCCTCCAGATCTCACGTGCAACTCTTCCTGGGAAGTCCTGTGGTCCTCACAAATTTTCCTCCAAAGTCTGCACCCTCCCTGATCCTGAGCATCACCTGCCTCCCACTGTCCTCTCCTACCGGCTGGCGTCCAGCCCTCAGATGGCACCTGACTGCCAGCCATGTCTCTGGTGGTGGGTGTCACTGTCTCCAGAGCCTCTGGCTGGCGGTGAGATCCCTACCCTTCTGGGCAGCTTCCCCCTTTCCTTCTCAGCTCTTGCAGGGCAGAGGTAACTCACTGTCTTGAGGTTGAGGTGCTATAGGCTGGGTGAGGAGCATGAAGTGCATTTATGGAGCAGCTGCCATGTGTGGGCCCTGGGTGGGCCAGGGCCACCTTAGATGGGCTGGTGAGCCCTCCTGGAGTGCTGGGCTCCCTGCAGCCCTCAACATATTGTAGCAGCTGGGAAAATGGGGAAACTTCTATTTTTAATAAAAAACTTTTAATTGAAATATATACACAGAAAAGTGACACATTTTTACAAACTATAAGTGTTCCAGAGTGTGGAGGCCTCTGGTGTGTTGTTGAGCTCAGTTCCTTTTGAGGCCTTGTCCTCCCTTCTGTAAAATAAGCATACTGTCATTGCAGCCCAGGCCTGCGTGCAGAAGGCCCAGGAGGCTCCGGGAGGAGCCCATCCAGCTCCGCGTGCTGTGTGTGACCTGCAGAGAGCTGTCAGCCTGTGATGATGCTTAGGACAGGGAGGGGTGAGAATTAGGGACAGGTGTTCTTTAGTGGCCATTTCCTCCTTGCAAGAGGTCAGAATGACCAACTCAGATGTAACTGTAACATCCCATTGTTTGATTTTTACAGTATCCCTTCCTGCCACAAATAATTGTAGACCCAATGTACTGATGGCCAAGTTGGGAGGGGTGGACCGTAGACAGTCCTGACCTCGACTCCCCGTGTGTCCTCCCATCCTGCAGAGGAGGGGCCAGGATTTGAGCTGGGCGTGTGCCCTGGCCATCTGCCTTACTCTGCGCCACACAAGGAGCTGCTGAAGAGGTTTGAGCTGAGTGATGGTGTCCCAGAGTGGGAAACGGAGGGCACAGTCCCCGAAAGGGGCCTGAGCTCAGGCAGTGGTCCACGGATTATAAAGGAATCCTGAACTTTCTCTGGCGTGGGCTTCACGTCCCAGCCGGGCCTCTGCCAGGCAGCATGGCCAGGGCTGTGTCCTTGAGACCTCCTCATGCTGACAAAGTGGGTACGACCCCTCTGCAGCCCCGGAGGACCAGTGTGGCCTCATCTTGGCATCCGTGGGCAAGGTGGTAGGCATGGCAGAAGGAGTCACTCGGGCCTGGGTGGGACCAACAGTAGCCCTCAGTGATTTCTAACAACAGCACTGTCTGCTGCATTGGAAGAGCCTCTAAATGCGTGGCTGGGACCTGCCTGAGTGCCCTTCCTGTGGTGGCTGGGCAGTGGGAGGAAGGAGCCAGAAGCCAGGCGGGTGCTGGGAGTGATCCGTGCTCATAGCCCCCATCCTGGGCTGTGTGGCCTGTGGCTCACGGTTTTCTTCTGCTCCCACAGCCTCGCCGCTCCTCCTGTTTGCCAACCGCCGGGACGTGCGGCTGGTGGACGCTGGCGGAGTCAAGTTGGAGTCCACCATCGTGGTCAGCGGCCTGGAGGACGCGGCTGCCGTGGATTTCCAGTTCTCCAAGGGAGCCGTGTACTGGACGGATGTGAGCGAGGAGGCCATCAAGCAGACCTACCTGAACCAGACGGGGGCTGCCGTGCAGAATGTGGTTATTTCGGGCCTGGTGTCACCTGATGGCCTGGCCTGCGACTGGGTCGGCAAGAAGCTGTACTGGACAGACTCGGAGACCAATCGCATTGAGGTGGCCAATCTCAATGGCACGTCCCGAAAAGTCCTTTTCTGGCAGGACCTCGACCAGCCGCGGGCCATCGCCCTGGACCCTGCTCATGGGTAAACCTGGTGCCTTTCCTCCTGGGTAGGGGTGGGTGGGGTCCTGGTTTCCCTCTTGAATTTACTTGAGCCCAAGTACCTTTTTCAGAGAAAACTCGGGAATCGTAAAATGAATTCACCTTTCACGTTTGTTTTTGGGAACAATTGCCCCTTGATACCCTGAAGTCATGTTTCTTTTTTAAATTTGTGGCATCTGAGGCAACAGATGTGCTTGGCTGTGGATTTGAATCGTTAAACATCTCAGTTGTATGTGTGACAGTGTCCGAAGAGGTGCAGGCACTCTGACAGTTCAAACATGCACCTTTCACCTCCTTGATGACTGCGTTAGCTGAAAACGGGTGGAAAAAGTGGAACTCCTTGTCCAGAAATAGACCTTGCTGTGGGATTGTTTCTCTGGTCTCTTGCGGAAGCCCTCTGCCCCTCTCTGCTTCCCAGTCTGGCTGAGCTGGCCATGACCCACGAAGACGCAGGGCCCACCACGAGTTCTAGGTGGGGTTTCGTGAGTGGCGGTAACGCTGAGAAAATTTGCATAGTGGAAGGCTGGAATGGAGCGATGGTGGGGTGAGGGCCGGCATCACTGCCCAGCCAGCCAGGCCAGGCTCACTGCAGACTTTTCTGAGTGTGAGAGCTGTTGGCTCAGTCACCCCTCGGCCCTTCAGCCCCTCCTCCCGCAGCCCAGGAACGACACACTCTTAGCGGCTGTCAGGCATCTTGAACAGAAACACAGTAGGACCCTGGGTTCCGGTCCTGATGTCACGACTTGCTGTTGCCCCTGGCAGTGCCCTCCCCTGCCTTTGGGGGTGACACTGGCTGCGCGGCCTGCAGCCGGGCTGAGGGGTCCTGTCAGCCTGCCCTGGGGTGGGTGGGATGAGGGCCAGGGCTGTTTGTGGGTGGCTTGGGGAGCAGGCCGGGTGAAGGGGGCGCTCTGGTGGTGGAGTGAGTCTCCTTATGTGTGGCTTCTTGGCATGCTGACTGAGAAGGTGCACTAGCCTGGCGTTTGGTGTAGGGGGAAGTAGCTGGTGCTTTCCGGAGCTCCTGGATTGAGCACGCGTGTGTGCGTGTGTGTGTGTGCGTGTGCAGGAAGGTGTGGGGCTGGGAGGTTGTGGGCGTGTGTGTGCGCATGCGTACGTGTGTGTGTGTTCCAGTGTGCCTGTGTGTGCACCTGTGCGTACTCATGTTGTGCCTGTGACACACGCAGTAGGGGTGGATGGATGGAATTTACTGCCCCAGGAGCTCACTCACTGAGGTCAGGCCAGATGAGCCTGGTGCCCCCACCACTCAGGAGCCCCCCAGCCCTTGTGTCCTGGGGGGACCCTGCCAGGCAGTGACTTATCTGTAGGCCCTCCTTACCTATCTCCGAGAGGGCTGAGCAGCCTCAGCTGCGGGGGGCCAGGCTGACCTTCCAGGAGGGTCCCCGTGCTGCCGGGGGCCCGTCCCTCTCTCAGGCCTCTGCCACGCCGGCCGCAGTGGATCACTGACCATCTTCCAGGAGGTCCACGTCTTCCTGATGTGGCTGAGTCCTGCTGGCTAAGAGGGGCATATGTCAGCAGTGGGAGAGGCTGAGGAAACCCCCTGAGATGCACTGTGGGGAGAAGACCATGAACGAGAGGGGTGTGTCCCAGAGGAGGATAAAACAGACCCCGGCACAGGGAGGGCGAGGCCAGGGGCTTCCTGCTGCAGGTCGGGAGCCTGGGAATGTCTCTTGGTGTTGTTCGGACAGGGACCTGAAGCAGAGGTGGGCAAGAGCCACGTGGCCACCTGGAGGAAGAGTGTTCCAGGCAGAGGGCACAGCCCACGTGAAGGCTCTGGGCTGTTGCAGAGTGGGAGTGGAGTGAGGGGGTGGGCAGAACGGAGTGGTGGCGGGGCAGGCGGGCTTGGAGTGGAGTCGTCGCTGGGTCTGACTCATGCTTCGGGGGTCTCTGGCTGTTGGAGTGAGAGTAGACTTCAGGTGGGAGCTGGGAGCTCTGTGGGCCGCTCTTACCGTGATCCCGGCAGTAGACGGTGGGCACCTGGGTTGGGGGGAGGAGGAGGCAGGCTGAGGGTGAGTAGACTTGGCATCTGTTTTGAAGGTGGAACCACCTGGATTTGCTGGTACTTGGATGTGGGTTGGGGAGAAAGACTAGAAGCAAGGATGGCACAGTGCTGCTCTGTGCCTCAGTGTCCCATCTGTACAGGGTTGTGACCATGTCACATGTCATGCAGAAAACACCAAGACTAGTCAGTGGCTTCAATAAATGTAAGCTGTTGTTGTATGAAAAATGCCACCTCCACCTGAACTGTGGGCTCTACAACCCTGTTCAGATGACTCTCTTTTCTTCCTCATGGCCTTTTGCTATGTTGGTTAGGAGGAACTTGGCACTTGGTTGGGAGGTACCCAGG